GGCCTGAGCGCAGGGGTGTAATCCAGCCAGTGTTTATGGAAAGAGTGAGCTGGGAGGGAAGGGGGTCCGGCGCTGCATCCCTCATTCCCAGGACAGGGTTTCAAATATGTCATGGTTTCCTAAAGCATCCAAGAAACAAGCAACAGGAGTTGCACAAAAGCCCCCGCGTTTTCTGGAAGACAGGAGCAACCGAACACCTTCTCTTCCCCTTTCCTACACTGCACCACAATCAAGCATGTACGCATGCACACACGTATGCGTGCGCACATGCACACACACACACACACGAGAAGTGTCCTTTCCGGTTCTTTCATCATGCAACATGTGTCCCCAGGTCACCCGGTTGTGTGATGAAGGAACCAGAATCGGAGGATGGGTTCTGCCTTACCTGCAACTCTGCACGTTGGGTTTAATGGCTGTGCCTCACCTACATTCTGCCGACGGGTGGTGTGAGTGAGTGGATGGAGTGTTGGACTCCGGCTCAAGACAGCAGGGTTCCCACATCCCCGATTTGCCCATGGAAACGGGCTGGGCTAGTGGTAGAATACGTGAACCCACTCCTTACATATCTTGCTTGCCTCAAAAGCCTGGTTCTCGGGTTGTTCTGAGCTGGTTCCAACTTGACAGCCTAGAATGCACCAGCCATACAGATCACGTCCCTCCTTTTGCTTTCTCTCCACTTCAGTGAATCCTAGTGAAAAAGTATCGTGTTTCAGGGTGCATAAGGAAGAACTGTTTCGGGACCCGTAGCCACATCCATCCCATTCATGCCTGCACGTCCTCCCTTGATATTGCAGTCATCCAAGGATAGCTGTAGTGTAGAGTAAGCGAAGCGGCTTGTCATGACCGGCAGGGGGTTAGAGGACAGGCTTCCTCTGCAAACCACTGTCTTAACAGGAAGGAGGAGATGACGGGTGCACCGGCGAGCCACCTGTCTACAAAGTAGAACGCTCTGGAGGGAGAGTTGGCTGGGAGTGATGGGACTTGTAGTCTGGCCCCTGTCGAGGCGTCCGTTGGGTCAGGCTGAAAGGTATGAGAAGGGCACCCAGCTCCTTGCCCTCCATCTGGTGAGCCTTCCAGCCATTCCTGACCTCCTCTAACCGCGTGCCTCTCGGACCTTCCTCCTCCCCACAGACAGCAAGGCCATTGTGGACGGCAACCTGAAGCTGATCCTGGGCTTGATATGGACCCTGATTCTGCACTACTCCATCTCCATGCCCATGTGGGAGGACGAGGACGAGGAAGATGCCAAGAAACAGACGCCCAAGCAGCGCCTCTTGGGCTGGATCCAGAACAAGGTTCCCCAGCTGCCCATCACCAACTTCAACCGGGACTGGCAAGATGGGAAAGCGTTGGGCGCTCTGGTGGACAACTGCGCCCCAGGTGAGGGGAAGGTGGCGGCAGGGGGCGCTGGGTGGGCGGGCGGGCAGGGAGGGTGGCCGCTGCGGATAGCAACTCAAAAAGTCTTTGGTTCACTCTGATTCTAGGAAAGGTTCCTTTCTGAGGTCCCCCCCAATTAATATAAATGTTTTAAATATATACCGTATTTTTCAGTGCATAAGACTACTTTTGTCTAAAATCTTTAGAGTAAAAATTCCGTCTTATACACGGAAATAAGCTGAGGAGAGAACAAACACAAGTGGAGGGGAAAGCAGGGATCAAAGCGATCCTGCAGTGCTTTGATCCCTTCCCCCTTACACTTGGTAAGCCCCACTTAGATTTCTCAATTTGGGGTTAGAAAAGTGGGGGGGGCGTCTTATACATGGGGGCGTCTTCTTTATGGAAAAATACGGGTATCTGGGAAGTTCAAAGGTTTTGTGTACATTATTTTAGAGAGCTTGATAAAGTCACCTTTGTGTGACTACAACTCCCAGAACCCACTAGTTTCCCCCCCAAAAAAAGAGAGATCTTGCCCCTCCCACCCCCTGTCCCCAGATCTTAGAGGAAAACTAGCCAACAGCGAAATCCAAGAAAACTGTGCCTTGAAACTAGAATTCAAACCATTGAATGTTTTAAGTGTTTCATTTTGGAAACTCAGTTGTGAGGGTTTTTCCTTTTTATTCGCACAACCAGTTAACTTGCCTTCATTATTTTTTTAAAATAGAAAAATAATATTTAACCTGCCCCAAACCAATGCCTTGGTTTTCTTGAAGGCCTTCATCTGAAAAAGCAGCCCAAATGCACAGTGCTTTAAAAAAAAATGATTTTGGCACAGGAGAACAGAAGCAGCGGTACAGGTCTTGGAGAACACCGTTCCTTGCGTGGTCGCGCCCGGGCCCCACGGGGACCCCCCTGACGCCTACCTTGCCCCCTGTTCTCAGCCCGTTGTCGTCCTGTTAGCCGGAACCCCTTCTGAGCTCCAGGGAAGCTGCTCTGGGGCTCTCCGACAGCAAAGACTCTGCAGCCTAAACACTTCCTAATCTGATGCATCGCTGGGGGAGCACGCGCTCTCGGCGCTGGGAGAGCAATCCAAATTTGGGCAAACCCAGAAGTCCAGCTTGATGGACTTGCCGATGAGAATGCTCTGGCTCCCAGGGAGGTGTTTGCACATTTATCCTTCTTCTTTTGCGCCTGTGCTCGGCCCAAGGTTTGCTATCCATGCGCCTTTCTTGTTCTTTGCATCTCCAGCTTGAACATTTCCCCTCCCCTGCGGGAGAGAAAAATAATAATAATGCAGAAGGTCTTTTCCCCCGTCTTCTTCTCAAAGACAAACCCTGCCCTGCCTACTGTTCTCTCCGTTGCCTTCGTCTGTTGCTTTTTATGGGCCTTGAATTACTCCCGTTGCTGGCACATCACCCTGTCTCTCATACCAGCGCATCTAGGTCAGCAAAATGACAGGGACTCTAAAGCACAACCCTACGCCTGTCTATGCAGAAGTGCGCCCCATGGCGTTCAATGGGCTTGCTCCCAGTTTCAGGACGACAGCCCAATAAACTGGATCGGCTTCTGCACCGATCGGTGGGAGATTTTTCAAATCTAAAATAATTTAGACAGACCGCCGGGTCCACGGCTAATAAAAGCAGCCCCCATACTCTGCCTTCCCAAGACGTTTCTTCTTCCTTTCTGGGCTGGGGCTGGTTGTGTTTACAGATCAGGGGAAACGGCACTCTGCATAGGTTCAGAGGCACTCTCTCTTCACGGTGGTCTAATAGAGCAGCGATTGTATTTGAGGTCCTGGCGAGACTAAATTAAGCTCGGAGGACAGTCTGGGGTCAGGAAAGACCTCCATTCCCCCCCCCCCCAGAGGCTCCATTTACGGGCCCGTTTCCAGGAGAGGTTTCCTCTGCTTTGACCCATTGGACCAAAAGGCAAAGGGCTTAGGAGCTGTTGTGAAGAGTCAAGGCTGCCCCCTTCATCTCCTCGGCCCAGATGGCTCGCCCGTGTTTACCTTAACCGAAGTCTCCAAGAGCCTTTTATGTCAAAGGCTTCCTTCTAAGTCTGTCCCCCCATCCCACCCCAAAACATTCCTCTTCCATGTCTCTCCCCCCCCTCTGTTCTTGGCACCCTCTCTGCCTTCTGTTCTTGGGGGATTCTCCACGTAGGCACTGGCACGTTTTCATGCCCAGCGCCAAACCTGCCTCCGCCCCCCCCACTGCCTGGCTCTGGCCGTTTAGCCTAGCGAAGGGCTGCAGAAGAAAGCCCTAGGCTCTTTTAGGCTGCATTAAGAGAAGCATGGACTCCAAATCCCATGAGACACTTTCCCCCCTCTGTTCGGCACTGGTCAGGCCTCACCTTGAGTCCTGTGTCCAGTTCTGGACATTTCAAGAAGGATGCCGAGAAACTGGAGCCAGTTCAGAGGAGGGCGACCAGAAGAAGCAAGGGGACTGGAAACCAAGCCTTAGGAGGAGAAAAGGCTGAAAGCACTGAGCCTGTTTAGCCTTGAGAAAAGATGACAAGAGGAGAGATAGGAGAGCATTTTTCAAAGTCTTGGAAGGTAGTCCTACAGAGGAAGGGCAGGATCTGTTCTTCGTCATCCCCGAGTGCAGGACACATAATATGGGGCTCAAGTGACAGGAAGCCAGATTTTGGCTGAATATTAGGAAAAACTCCCTAACTGTTAGAGCAGTATGACAAGGGAACCCAAGACCTCAGGATGGAGGGGGGGTGGAACAGTGCTGCAACACTGGAGGCCTTCAAGAGAGACAACCCCCTGGCAAATCTACTTGGATTTGAGTTCCTGCCTTGAGCCCCAGGGGGTTGGACTAGATGGCCTTGGAGGCCCCTTCCAGCACCATCCTTCTCTCTAAGGCCCTTCTGCTGGTTTAAGAACTTTCCCTGCGTTTGACCCCAGACTGGGCTTGGACCATGAATGCCACTGGTACACGCAGGGGTTGCGCACCCCTCCAGAATCGGTGGCCAGACTGCCCAAGACCCCATCGAACGATTAGCTCATCCGGCCAGGAACGATACTGTAATTCCCAGAATTAAGCACCCACCCACTCACCCAGACAACAGGAGCATGGGAACGGAGGTCAGGGAAGGAAAGGGAAGGAAAGGGGAGAAATGCAAGGAGACATTTCCAGGTTTTTCTACTCCGGGTGGCCTCCGGGGCCGGTCCATTCCCCATCTTTGGGGCTGCCGGTCCGACACGACCTTCTTTTCTCCCTCCTGCAGGCCTGTGCCCGGACTGGGAGATGTGGGATCCCAACCAGCCGGTGGAAAACGCCCGGGAAGCGATGCAGCAGGCGGATGACTGGCTCGGGGTGCCCCAGGTAATCTGGTGGGTGGGAGAATTCCCTGTGTCACCCCCTCCCCCAAATAAAGGAGAGCGGAAGATCCGAGAAATGTTCCTTCTTTGGGGCGACACCTGTAGGGTCAGGGGATTCTGGGAGCTGTAGTCCAAACCCCGAGGAACAATTCTCAAGCTCTGGCTGAGGACCCCCTTTTTAATATTTCCATTCCCATGTTTGTAATGGTGGCTTGGTAAGGAGGAACACGACAGGTCGTTTTTTTCCCCGACAGCATCTGTGCGAGGAGGGAAATGCTTCGCCGGTTGAAGGCCTGCCTGTCACCCCACGTTGGAAACAACCTGTCTCTCCCTCTTCTCAAATGCCTCATTGACTTACGTGTACCTTTCTGCCTCTTTGCAGGTGATTGCCCCCGAGGAAATTGTGGACCCCAATGTGGACGAGCACTCGGTGATGACTTACCTGTCTCAGTTCCCCAAAGCGAAACTCAAACCCGGAGCCCCCCTGCGCTCCAAGCAGCTCAACCCCAAGAAGGCCAAGGCTTACGGCCCAGGTAAGGAAGGAAGGAAGGAAGGAAGG